ATATATAACTACCGTATAAAAACAGTTTAATTTTTTCAACAACTGTTTGTTTTTACACATACAGTATGTTACCACCAAAACTTTTCAAATAGAGCTAAATCTGAAATGCTTATTCGTGATAACATCAGATGATGTTTTGAAAATGGAGTTTTCATTATGATAATGTTAAATTTATGCACTTATTTTACAATTAGGAATCAAACAATTTTTTTAGTGTAGTAATGGGACCTTTTCTTTTTGACCTGATCTTTTATTCAAACCATCTTTAGTTTCATAGAATGTTTTATACAGTAGATAACTGACATAAGTTCTGCTGAGTTTATTTATCCCTCTGTTGTTTTGCTGTAAATGAGTGACCAACTACAAAAAGAAAAAAAAACTTTGGATTATCAGTGCACATTCTCACTAAATCACTCACAATCAGAAGAATAACTTGCTTTGATGCATTTGAGTTTAGAAAAAAAATCTATTTTAGACCCAGTTTATCAAATTTTTTTTCCATTATTCAAAATCTGCCACAAATAATCGGTTCAGATATGATTTCAGCAAAGTCAACGATGGCAGATTTCTTTAAGGTAATCTAATTATTTACTCTTCTTAGTTATTATTGGACATAGGTGAAAACAGAAAAAAAATTGCGACACTTCCCCTAAAATGGAATTCCAGAGATTATAATCTTCCTTTCTTGTAATAACGTGGCCACACAGTTTCACAATTATGTTACACTAAAAAAGTGTTATAGTTACAATACTTTGTCTGATCTGAATTACATTAGAATTTTATTATAATTAATGTGCTTATTTCAATTCAAATTTTCTAATGAGTGTAATTTTGTTTTAAAATGATGTAAAATGTTACTTATTGCTACAACTTCTATTCCACCTAATTCACACATCCAAGCATTACGTTTATAATTTTTTTGTATAGTAAAAGATAAAACATTTTGTAAAAACTGCATAATAGGCAATGTTGGCATTTAAAGTAACAAGAAAATATCTCACTGTTACGTTCAGGTTCACGCAAACTAGGGGAGACGGTGCAGTAGCCACAAGGGACGGTTGCAACACATCATTTTTCTCCGAACAGAAACAAGCTAGAGTGATGACACTCACACTGTACATGCTCAGTTAGATGTCCCACCTTGCAAAGAAAAAGTAAGCAAATTCAAAAACTGCTCCAGGATTTATTTGAAAAAAAAAAAAAACAGTTTTTGACGTACCGTACCAAAGTATTTTTTTGCCCAGCTTTATTTTTGTTATACTGTTGTCACTGTTTTTGTGATCCAGCTCAAACTTATCTGGTTTAAACAAGTGATATGTTGACTTTTAACTAATATGGTTAACATGTATCCAGATCAGCTTATTTAGCTAACACATGAGGTTTTATCATGGCTGACAGGAAGGGGGACAGTAACTACAGTTGTTACAACTGTCCCCATATGATAAATCCAGATAAAAACAGAGCACATACAGATGATATTAAGATGTTGAAATTAAGTTTACACTTAAAAAGGTATTGGGTATTCATGACAATTTTATCGTTTAAAACATAAAAGTGTTTAAGATTAATTTTCTGCAGTTGTTGTTTTCAACAATGGTTTTAAAGTCTCAGTTTCTTTCAATGTAAATTTTGCACAATGTTGGCGTACAGTGACAACAGGCAAAACAAAAGTTAATTGCCTCACAAATTGTTCTATTATTCTTGTCTCTAAAAACAATATGTGTTTTATATCAATTTGAATCTTTGTCATCTGTATATAAGGTCTACTCATCAGGGCAAATCTATATTCATCATTTGATCAAAAAGAATAAATGAATAACACTGTAATACGTATCATTATAACTTACAGTTTTTATAAATTTAGCAATATTATAAATATTAAAATAATAAAACTTTTATTTACAGTAAAATATATTGTATTAATAATATGTTGCAACCGCCCCCAAACAATGTTGCAACTGTCCCCAGACCCGGGGTCAGTTGCAACATCTGACTTTTCATTTTCAAATGCAAATTATGAAGAATGTACATGCTTTAGTCATCTATAAATGGTTTTGACTATTAACAGACAGATGTAAGTTTATTGTATTAAAATTTAGTTTGTCTATTTCAAACCATCTTTGAGTAACAGAGTCAAATGCAAGAAGTGTTGCAACTGTCCCCAGTCTCCCCTTTTGTAAAAACAGGCAGCTCATTTAATATCAAACGGAGAATTTTAAGGCAGTGATATCTATAGAGAACAAATTATGTTTTTCCTTTTTCTATAAAAAAATTAAAAATCATCTCTGCTCAACTTACCTTTGTTTTTCTGATTTTGCCGAAATGAGCAGGGTTTCTTGTCACCTTCAAATTCAGCCTTTTCCTTTAGTTACTTGGAGAACACCACCATCATGTGAGCTTCTGGTGGTATTGAAACTTATGCCGCAAACAGACAAAAAGTCAAATCAAATATAAGATGATATTCAGATGATCCAATCACGGAAACAATATTTGTTTGGTTTCTATGAGAATGTTACGCTTATATAAAAAACTACAAGTCAGTGCATCTTGCAGTTCTTGACATTGCATTAAAAGAAAAAAAAAAAGAAACAGTGCATCATATTCACCACTTAAATTTATCCATACAGATATAATAAGTATACTCAGTGAATTTAGTAATTGTTCTACACGCATCAAACTGAGCTGTAAACAATCCTTCCTCTGGTTAATGACACACAGAGGAAAGAAAAGCTCAGTCTGGAACAAGTGAAATGATCCAAAGCACTAAATTTAACTTCAAGGGGAGAAAAGTTCTGAAAATCATTCATATAAAACAACTCAACCTGTCAAAACCAGACAGAATAACTACAGCTGCAGTAACAGAAACAACAATCAGCTGGTAATGCAGCTTCTTGACCTTCTTGAATTCAAGATTATGAACTTTATCTGGGATTAGAAATAAACAGCAGAACAAGAACATCTAATTAGCTGGCAAAAAAGTTTTTCACTGGCTACATATAAGACATTGTTGTTGTATAAAATGAACTTAACTTAAATCATTTTCTGTGGTGTTTAATTATGGCAGTGATTGACATGTTTTCTTGAGGTGTTTTGTTTTTAAAAGAGCATTTTTATTTGCTTCTCTCTTCATTCTTTCATTGACTTCAAACGTTCATATTTTGTTTGTGTGTTAATAAAATTGCATTTTAATATTTGATGGTCTACTTTATTTATAGTCCAGCCTATGGATTTAAACGTTATTTATAAAATGCAAATGTGGAAAGATGAGAGGAAATATAGGTATTATTATCGGAATTCTGTAACAACAGCGCCACCCTGTGGTTGGTTTGTAAAATGAAACGAATAAAATGTGACAAAAAGTACAATTATGGTTCACCATTTATATTTTAGGTTTATTTGAAACATTAGGTCAACTCCAGAGCAGTGTCACATATTCCATTTTTGTACAAGTATATCATATATATACATAAAAATACAACAGCAAAATTTCCTATGCTCTTTATAAAAATAATTACAAAAAACAGCTGTTAATTTAGAAATAACAGCTCAATCAGCTCATAATCATGCATTTATTTTGTTACAAAACTATCATGTTACATTGATTTTACTTTTTTTCCATGCACACACACATATGCGCACACACACACACACACACACACACACACACATTCAGTGACAGCTAATAATCACTTAAGAACATTAAAATCCTTTCATTCAAGGCAAAGTTCTTACTGAAAAGTCCCATGATCTTTTGTACACTTGTAAAAACTGAATAAATCTGATGAAAACAAATTGCTTTTATACAAATATACAGAAACATTTACAGGATCACAGTCTTTTTGACATTAGAAAAGCGCTACTACAGCCTGCATAATTTATGACAAACATCTTTGTGCGATAAATATTTGTCTTGAGCTAAAATTACACTGAATTATTAACGCAGAACAAATGAAACAGCTTCAGGCACATTCTGCACAGAGAGTCACAACAGAAACTGAGCCTCACAGAATGACGTGTATGAAGAGAGCCATGATGGCAGCGCTGAGCAGGCCAGAGATGGGCACTGTAACGAACCAGGCGATGAAGATATTCCTGAACAGACGCCAGTCCACTGATTTCCTGGAGCGCAGCCAACCCACCGCCACCACAGATCCCACCTGAGAAAACAGACATGTCAGTGTGTGCGCGTTACAACATGTGTGTTTGTAGCAAAAACGTCAGAGATGTGAGTTTCTGCACCTTGCAGTGGGTTGTGCTGACAGGCAGACCAACGTTAGACGCTACGACGACAGTGACGGCTGAAGCCAGTTCAATGCTGAATCCGCTGCAGAGGAGGCAAAACGTTAGCGTGGTTCAGCAATCAGCCTTTCAGCTGGGACAGAGTGTAGCTCTGAGGCATACCTGGAGGGTGTAATGGGGGTCAGGTCTTTGCCCATGGTCTGGATGACCCTGCGACCCCAGACCCAGAGTCCAGCACAGATCCCCACTCCTCCATAAAGAAGCAGCCAGATGGGCGTGGGTGCAGTGGAGATGACTGAGCCGCTCTCATAGAGGAGCCAGAGAGCCACCAGTGGGCCGATGGCATTGCTGGTGAGAGAAACAACTTGTTAATCATCTGAACAACACGTTAGTGAATCCTCCGAAGCAACACCCGCTCCTCGCCCACCTGACATCATTCCCCCCATGAGCGAAAGAGCCAAAGCACGCTGTGAGGATCTGCAAAAACTGGAAAAGCAACGAAACAGCAGGCTGGTCGATCTCCAGCTCATCCTCCTCCGGAGCTAGGTCCCCACCGGCTTCTTGGGTCACGCTCTCATCCGGGACCACACTCCCGCTGGTCAACGCTGAGCTGTAGCTGCTGTAGCTGTCCACCCGAGACCTCCTCTGGGATCCGGTGTCCACATCTCTATACTTAGGATCCGTTTGAATTCCGTAGATAGCCATGGTGTAGGAGGTGTAGCTGTTGTTCCTCCTCATGGGCCGCTCCTCCGTGTCGCTGTCACTGATGCAGTCCCCGACCTTGGCCTTGTGGAGCTTGTGGAGCAGGTCTTTGTAGAGGCCCGAGTCTCTGTGAATTGTATGGGAGCGTCCGCTGTGAGGGTCTGTGATTGTCATGTGGCCAACAGTCCCGTTCAGACCTGAGGATCAGACTTGTGTTACTATTGTTCACTTTGTGTCTCCATTCTGACACTTTGGGACATTCATTTCTCACCGTTGGCGGGGTCCAGGTCTTTGGCCTCCACATCGTTGTTTAGGTCGGCTTCCTCTGAGCCTCCGAGTTTGAAGGCCACCTTCTGGCTTTCAGCTGGAGGGCTCTGAAGTGGAGGGTTAGGTGGGATTTGATGTTGCTCCTCTGGTGCAGGTTTGTTGGAGGACTTCTCCATCAGTGGAGTTTCACTGGGAGCAGTGGGGCGTGTTTCTCCTGTGGTACGTTACATTCACAGGTCAGTCACTTGTATATTTATTGCTGAATGGTCTGTGTTAACATTTCTACTAAATAAGTCCTCATGCAGCCATTTAGATTTGTAAATAACAATTAAAAGGAGATACCAACATAAAGTGAATCAATTTTACTTAAAGGTGACGCTAAATCTACTTTTTTAGCAATTAAATACATTTTGTTGTGCACTTGGAGGCTCTAGGAGTGCAGAAATGTTTAATTTATTCTCTTTAGGTGCTTCATAGCTATCTTTATATTCATTTTGGATCATATTTTTCAAACCAATCAAATTATTTGCGACAGAGCTGTAAATAAGGTCTGAACTAATCAACTACAATTTGGTCATCTTAATTTTCCTCTGACTTTGGCTCCAACATTTAAGGGTGGATGTACAAGTTTTACTTTGTTGACATCTTTTAATTAATTTGTAAATACAAGTTTCTGTGCTGCTATATAGTCATAAACACCTCCATCAACTTACAATGGACCACGCTGGTAGCTGTAGGGGTCAGGGTGTGAAGCTCTTTGTTTGGATTTAAAGAGACAGCATCTACTGTAAATGAGTTGATCTGAGGCACACCTCATAAAGGGGTGAAAGAGGGGCTTGTGGAGTTACAATAAGAAGGAATCAGACCAAAGCAACACAGCTCCACTTTATATAGACCCCAGCCTAATGATTTAAATGTGAAAAAAAAGGATTTAAAGCATCATATGTCTCCTTTAAGTGTACTTTATTTTCTAATAGTGACTTCTGAGTTCAGATAAGATTAAATAAGCCACAGGAAAGGAAGGTTTTGCACAAACTAAAATACACAATGTTGCTGTGACACGTTTAGAATTTGTCTCTTCTTGGGAAGTGTGAAACCGTCACATTTACTCACGCTCGATTTTTATCTTGAGGCGTGGACAGACGACGAACCAAACGAGCAAAGCGGTGACGACGGCGCAGCCCAGGGAAATGCAGAGCGTCCCCCACCATGGCACTCTGTCAAAGCCCAGCACTGAGCGAGCACACAGCACAAGGAACATGAAAAGAAACGGTGTCAGAAACTGAAACTTTACTCGTTATTCAGGAGTTAATGTGTCCTTTTGAACCTAACAAAATGTAGACACGTGATTTGTAACATAATACAAAACATCTCAACAAGCTGTTTGCCACATGTCAGCGTGTTCTTTTGGACAACAGTATCAGTGAAAGGACACTCTCCTCTAATCAGATACCGTGGAAGAGGCTGGTCTTGCTGCACAGTGATAAAACACTGTTAGGAACTGAGTGTTAAATTTTTCCTCAAAGTTTAACTCTTGACAGCCTAAACTGTGTCTGCTGTCACGGCTGGAATTAAACTTTTTTTAATGTGAACAACCACAAGAACTTTACCCGAAAAGTGGGCCAAGGCACTTTATGGGTGTGACCTACAGTATCTTTAACATTCACGTAGAGCAGAACGGGCCTCAAACACTGTTAACTCCACCGGCTGCTCAAGTGTGCAGGCAGATTATGACTCATTTAGATTTAAAAACTGAGCTAAAGCAATGGAGTTCAGTCAGTTTGTCAGAAAACTTTAATGTTAGGAGCTTTTATGAAGGTTTAATGCAAAAAAAAACATACTTTGCATACTGAACTGGAATCATAGTAAGTTATATGGTGTTATTTTTCTAAACAAAATAAAAAACTGCAAATAAAACCCACAGAAATAGAAAGTTTTCATTTAATATTTGCTTCCTTTAATCATTTTCAGTTTCACATCAACGGTGTTTTAACAATGTTAGGTATTAAAATACCTCTGTCTCAGCATTATAAAATTCTCTCATTATTATCAATACAGTAGCTCTCCAGCATCTTTTACTCCCTACTCTTTCATCTCACCTGACCACAAGGAATGCATCAGATGCTGTGTTTAGGTGAACCCCCCCCCCCCCCACCCCAGAAGATTTAGTGTGGACTGTGAATGTGACACCACTCACATGGAGCTCCTGTGAACATGATGGAGAAAAGGTTGATGCCCATAGTGATGGCGTAGAAGACAGGGAGCGCTCTCAGTCCATTTGGTACGGGGTTAGCCTGCGGAAAGACAACTTATTTATAAGATTTGCAGGAGAAAAGTATGCAAATTAATATTACTGTCAAGTTTGGACTTTAAAAATATGTTGAAGACAGACAAAACATATTGTTTACATTCTTAGATCGGAGAAAACAATTGTAAAGTCGCAAATTTCTATTCATTCTCTGCTCATTTGTTGCTTTAAAGATGCCGAGCTAACCAGCAGTCAGAGCTTATGAAAACGTGTTACATCAGAATGACACAGCTGAGTGAGAGAGGGAGGGGAGAGTTTCAGTCGGTTCCACAGCACTGTCCCAAGTGAAAACAACTCTTTCACATACACAAAAAAGAATGCTCCAAATTAAAAGAAAGGCAGAATTTCTCAAACACTTGTCACAAATGCACAGGAGTTAGAAATTTCACACTAAAGCTCTTTAGCGTTCCAAATTAATCTTGTGACCCCCCCTCCCTCAGCTAAAACCACTTGAACACAAATACTGTAAATCTAAATTAGATATTTAAAAATGTTAAAATCTCAAAAAAAGATCAGCCGTATGAAGCATTTTCTTTTAAAACAGAACTTTTACTTTTGACACATGCAAAAATGTCCTCTAAGATCAAAGTAAAACTGTCCTTTTGCTGAAACAAGCTAATTTGAAGTGGCCCTTACTTTGTTCAGGATGAATTTGCGGATGAAATAGAAGAGAATTCCTGACATGATTCCTGACAGTACAGGTGACAGGAACCAGGATGCCACTTTGAAAAGACAATTCATTAAAAAACGTTTTTTATATGCTACACTTTGTTTCTGATTCAACACATTCATGTTTAAACAAAGGTTACTCACCGATCCGCAGGAGTTCCATCCATTTGACCCCTTGGTGGCCTCTGGCTACCATAGAAAACCCGATTGTGGCTCCAACAATGCAGTGTGTCCCAGAAATGGGGAGCTTCAGGAACGATGCGGCCAGCTGCCACACAGCCGAGCCTGCAGCACAAAAACACACGGGCAGGGAGGTCTGTGTTTCATCTCAGTTTGATCTAAAAGCAAAAACAAATACATCTCTGCATGTGCAGCAAACCCACCACACATGGCACTTATAGATCCGGCCATGAGGACATGTTCTGAGCCATTGTACATCCTCACGTCGATGATCCCCTGCCTGATGGTCTCACTGACTTTGGCCCCCAGCAGCACTGAGCCCACCGTCTCAAAGATGGTGGCCAGGATGCAGGCCTGCCGCAGGGTGACCACTCCGGAGCCTACCGCCGTGCCAAAGGAGTTGGCCACGTCGTTGGCCCCGACGGAGAAGGCCAGGATGAAGGCGATGATGAAGCCGAGCACCAGGAGCCAAACGTATGCGGACATGTCCGTCTGAGACGCCAGAACCACAGTGGTGGCAGCAGCCAGGGTCGCTAATGTAGCTGTTTCCATCACTGCTAGCAAGGTTTTCAAATACAAACTAATCAAAATAATCTGATTTTTTTATCTGTTGAGTTTTTTAATAAATATGTTTTTGAAATAAAAAAATGTATAAAGTTCCAACCAGAATATATTAAAATAAATAAAATAAATAAATATCTGCTAACTAGGTATCCTGTGCTTTTCTGTAAGCTTCATAATGGGTTGACAGGATAAAAAAATGGGAGACGGATCCATCGTGACGGACAACCTCGGATGATTCACACTGAAAAAAATAAACAGAAATACATAATTTAGAGAGTAATAAGTTATTACTCTGTGTTAACTCTATGGTCAGTTCAGTTTACCATACTTCTGTCTCGGGGCCCCCTAGTGGCTGCGGGGCCCTAAGCAGCCGCTTAGTTCACCTATGCCTTGGGCCGGCTCTGGTAATTACTTTTGGACAAACAAACACCAATCTGAGTTCTTTACAACATAAACTACCAGAGTTACCAAGAAGCATCATGTTGCTCATGATTTACTCAAATATAGCAGGATAAGAACATTTGTTTTTATTATTCTGATGGCAGGAATAAATGGCAGAAAGAAAAGACAAAACTGTATCATATGCAAACTGTTTTGGAGTGTGTGAGCGCAGCAGCGCTCAGAAATTATTTACAAAATTTAAACAGCTTTCTGTTTTATGACGACTTATTTGATTACCTTTGTTTTTTATTCTACGCTTATTTCTTTTTTGTTTGTCTTTCATGATTTGATGTGACACCTTCTGATTTTTATCCTACCACACACAAAAAACAGTTTATTTTCATCATAAAAACAGGAACTGACCTTTACTTGTGCCTGTTATACAAAGCATGCTGACACTGAGGTGTAATTTATCATTTTGTTTAAGATATGCTATTATAAAATTGTGTTTTTATGTGTTCCCAGGTAATGGTAAATGGTAAATGGACTGAACCTATAGGTCCAGGGTCCAGGGTCCAGGGTCCAGACTAGTAATACACTGTAAAAAATGAAATGATGGATTTACTTAACCATGTTATGTGACCTGGTTCCACTTAACTGAGTTGAGTAAATTCAAAGCAATATACCAGTTTTTTAACCAAAGAACATGAGTATATTGCTTTAATTTACTCAACTCAGTTAAGTGGAACCAGGTCACATAACATGGTTAAGTAAATCCAACATTTCATTTTTAGAGCGTAGGCAGAGGTACAGGAACACTTTTAGTTTTACTTTGACCAAACTGCTCCTTTATGTTTACAAAACAAGTTTAAATCTTTAGAATAAAAAAGGAATATTTAAGCAAAATCATGATTTTTGTATTTCAGCATGCCTTTTGGATAAAATGCTGTGTTGCAGAAATCATAAATCTTTTAAAACTGCAGTTTTATATTAAAAAATCAACTAAAACATCAATAACAGACTTTAAAGGTGACTGAATCTAACTTGGTTTTGTAATTTTTGCACAAACTCACCATTATATGTAGAAATGAGGTATTTTAATCTCCCTGGTTGCGCTTACATAACCCAAATGAAGCAAGAAAATGAGAAACAAAAGCAAACCGGGCAAAAGAAAGTGAAATAAGTGTCACTTACGTGTAAGAGCAGGCCAAGGTTGTCCTCTGTTGTCAGGGGGGAGACAATGACAGGGGGGCTTCACAACCTGGGGAGGTGGGGGGGCTGTAGCCTGCAGGAAGTGAATGAGGGGGCTTCTTCTGGAGGTGGGTTTATATACTGAGCTGAGGGGGGAACACGCCTTTAACAAAATTCCAATCATGAGACAGCAGCAGCAGCTGCAGCACTGAAGCTAATGTTTAGCTTGTTTGTTGACAGACTAAAAATAATTATAGCTATTTGCAGATTGTGTTGTTTTCACTTTATCCTCAAATTATGTTTCCCCGCAGCCATGTTGAAGGAAGAGGAATAACTGGTGTTTTGGCCAAATATATAATAGTCTAATGTCTTAAAAAAACAAAAACAACAACAAAAAATAATATTTTGGCTCACATTGTAGAACTATGGTTTAAATATGATATGTTGGGTTGCCTTCTGGTCCAGGCCTCTCTTACAAAATAGATCTGCACTCTCAACGGGATTTGGCTGCTTAAATAAATGTTAATAGATGAATAAATACATCATTTCAACAGCCAGACGTTTGACGCCACAGTAACTTTTATTAACTTGACTTTGATGACACCTAGTGGCCAAAACCTATCAAGACATTTATACAACGTATGTACATTTATTGTCATGAGAACAGCTTAGATATTATTTCATGATTCCCCCCCCTATTTTTATGTATTTATTTTTGTAATCAATCAGAGACAATATATAAATCAATCTTATAAATGAGGACTTTTAGCTCCTATGTTTTTGAGGCTTTCTGGAATAAATTCTTTGTTTTGTCAATTTTTCCTTCCAGAAAACCAGTTTTTGCCACTGACCTGCCTGCCTTGGAGTTCATGTTAAACTGCATGCGAAGCAACAGTTAAAGACAGTGTTACTAATCAACCTGACGCTCGAGTCACTTTTTTCTGAGAAAACTCCGGCAAGTTTTTGACATCAGCAGTGCTCTTGTCCTTTAATGCTCCGATGCCTCTGAATGTGCTGATAAGTTCCTCCTTAATACAGATTTAGTGCTTGAAGTCATTTGGTGTGTGGAATATTTTGACCTCTCTGGAACATGTGACTAACCCAGTCATACTGAAAACTCAAGTCAGTGGAAAAGAAGGCCCTCTCACTAACTAAATGTATCAGGACATAATAAACATGATCTGGTCTTTACAAGCTATTAGAATAATTAAAAGACACACAACACAATCTACCTTGTCTTTAAACAATAGCAATATTTACAGGCTCTCATGCAGAGGAATTTTGTCCATTGTTTTTTTATTATTATTATTTTACAACAAGTTAGTTTAGTTTATTCAGGTTTGCGGGCATTTGTTTTTGCACAGCTTTTTAAAGGTCACACAACAACATTTTAATCAAGTAGCAGCATGGACTGGATCATTGCAACACCTTCATTCTTTTCTTTTTGAGTCATTCTTTAGGAGATTTGCTGCTGTGTTTGGGATCATTGTCCTGTTGCATCATCGTCCTATTCAAGCGTCAGCTGCCTGACATACAAACGCACATTTGATGCTAGAATTCTTTGGTTTACAGAGGAGATTGTGGTTGATATAAGCAAGTCTGCAAAACAAGTCCACATCATTACCCTTCTGTGCTTGACAATTAATGCGAGGTGTTTGTCGCTTTTATGCTCCATCTGTTTTTATTTATTTTTTTTTTTTTTACCAAACATGACACAGTGCATTATGAGTAAACAACTTTACTTTAGTCAGGGTTTCAGAAGTCTTGTGGTTCTTTCAGATTAAATTGTTCAAACCTGTTTGTGCTGCCTTGTTCTTTGTAGAGAACACAAGATTTCTCCTGGCAACCGTCCAGACAAGCCATAACTGTCCAGTGTTTTTCTAAATGTACAATCATAACCTTTAAATTAAAGACTGAGGCCTGAAGAATCTGAACTGGAGCTGAAGGCCTTTTTTATTTTCTTTGAGCATTGCAACTGTCTATAACGACTTTCACATATGAACACTCTTTCTCATTGTATAGGATGATCATTGAAAATGACCTTTAACCCTTCCAGACTGATGAGCTGCTTCACTGAGGTCATCACTGATTGTCCTCGGCATTTTGATAGCACAACTAACCTGATAGTTGTCCCCACTGATGATCAGTTAATCATTACAGATGATCACCTGGCTGCTACTTTTCTTCTCACATTAAATCATGTGGAAGCAGTGGTAGACATGCTGATATCTGTTGTTTGTGTTTAAGCTTGAGGATTTAGAACCGGATCCTTTTGTTTATGTCCTGAGACATAAAATACTAGAACTTAGAGAGGATTTATTTTTCCATTACTGTGATAATAATCCTTATTGAACAAACTAAACTAGCTATATTTGATCTTTTAGATGCATAACTTGAAAATAACACCAGGACGCATCAACAATCGTTTTCAACATTTACGTTCCCAGGAGATTAGAGCTCTGCTTTTTGATGTTTACAGAAAGATTACTGGTTTGTTGACAGTAATCTGACAGAAAAAAGTTGACAATTTTTTCCCAGAATGACATCTCTGATCTATCCAATTTTAAGACATTCTTAATTACTACTGCCACGAGTTAAATGCTGTTTTCTGTCAATTTTGAGCTGTTCGGGGTGATAATTATCAGTCAGCATTGTCAACAATGCTCATTTGTTGCACAAGGGCCTGAGAAGCTTTGTTGTGTGACATTCTCATAGCAAGTTGATTGGTACACATCTGACTGAAACAGTAGAATACACAATATTATAAAAAACTTAAAGACTCTGGTTAAATACAGCGTTCAGCTAAAAGTAGGAAAGACTTTAATAATGTTTACTGGACTTAAAGCATAAAGCTGATTTTGTTATTGTTGCACAGATTCAAATCAGTGCCTCTATTCTTTTAGTAAAACAACTACTCTCAGTTCAATAAATGGTAGCTCATGATTAAAAGCCTATCAGGTAGGACATTCTCCTTTGTTAAACTGAGCAAAGTACTCGTCTGTCTCCTTTTGGTATCTTAAGGTTTTTGTCAGAGCAAGAAACATTTCAGAAGAGATTTTCTGTTTTTGTGGTTTGTCATACAATTAGAGACAATTTGTCAGATGACAAAATAGCTTTTTAAAGTTTACCCGAGGGCCTCTAGGTGGCATCATAGCCCCTGTTCAGGTTCCCTCCCTGATGATTACTGTTTGCTGTGTGGAAATACCAGTTTGTGACTGGACATGGGAAAGTATTTATCGGCTGTTTGGCAAGAATTTGCTCCCATAACTGTGGATTTGATCCCAGATCTGTTTATTGTAAACTGTTGGTTATTGTTTACAGGATTTAGTTAAGTTTTGCACAAATGTTAAACCAACAAAAACCTTAGTTTATATCTATTTAATACATCTATTTAAAAATCCTGCTTTAGGAATACACGCAGCTCATTTTTCACCCCTAATGTGTAGCTTTTTCTTGATATAATCAAACTGTCAGAACATCCAGGGTAATATTTACCTCTTTAAACACGTTAATAATCTTCAGCTAAAATAATGAATATTTTAGATTGGTTTTTTTTTCATAAATGGTTGCTACTCACATTTGAAATTAGACAAGATAGGACATGCAAATAGGTAACAGAAGAACATGGCTGGTTTTCATGCTCGGGCCCATCAGCCCAGCCCTCCTTCAGCCTTTTTTTTTCCCTCCCTCCTATCCCTTGCCAAACAGGATCTGTAGGATCTTACAGAGTCATTTTCTCAGGAGACTGGAATGTCAGAACACAGGCAGAGCACCTGCTGGGACATGCTCCCTAGATTCACTCAAACTTACGGGAAAAAAAGCCCAGCATGAGTCGCTTGCTTAGCCATTTAATTTCCAGTCAGTATTGGGAAATCACCCTCGTTGTAAGTTTCCTTTTCTTTTTTTTTTTCCTTTTTTTTTTTTGCCAGGTGTGTTTTAGACTGACTGACTCACTGGTTGTCTGGTGCATCACCCTAACTGGTTTGTAAAGGTGTCCGTGGGTTCCCAATCTCCTGCTTCCTAGTCATATTTTTCCCCCACAACCTTGCTTGTTGTTGACACTATACAACCAACTATTTTACAGTTTAAAAGAAAAAAAAAACACACAACAACCAACAATGGTATATGAAAAAAAGGTATTTTATTCTTTCAAAAGTGTTTTGAAAAATTCTCTCTTGTGTACGGCTTATAAGCAAGTTTTTACACGGCAGATAGGCTAGTCAGTAAAGACTAGAAGAAACCCAAGTGTATCAGAATATAAATATAATACAATGAAATAGTGGCATTCCTGCTGTTTTTACAAAAACAGCACAAAAACTAAAGAAATGTAAAGGATAATTCAACAAAATTTATCAATCACCACACACGTCACCGACTATAAAATCTCAAGTCTCAGTTGTGAAGCACAGATGCTGTAGAAATACAACCAAAACATCACAATGCTGTTCAACCTCATGCTACATTTGTCCGTGTCATGGTGAATCGGGTTTGGACGCACACATTTCCAGGGTGACGACACCCCTGCATCTGTTTGCTCTCACCACTAAGCGCTGCATGCACAAGCAGGGCTGTTTGTATTGAAATGTAAAAAAAAATAAAAATAAAATAATTTTTTAAAACTTTTTAAAATGTCCGATTTCCATCTGGATCAGCCCCCGTTTGTGCTTTAATTACCGGGCCAGCGGCTGGCAGTGGGCGACGAGCTGACAGTGGATTCTTTGTGGTTTGGGCTGTGGCTGTAGGCGGGTGAGTGGGTAACGCTCGGACTGCTGGGTGGCGTGGAAGAGCAGGAGGAGGACTTGGATTTGATCTGCTGCCACTTGTCTTCGCCCAAAGCCTTGGCGAAGTGGTCGTCGACGGACACGCTGATGGAGAGCTGCTGGGGGCGACTCTGCTGGTAGCTGGCCCCGAGGCTCCTCTGGAAATGCTCCTCGAGGACGTGGTCAAGGTTGCGTTTGGAGGCCGCTGGAAGAGGACGGAAGCATGACAAATGTCAAACACACGCCTCGGTGACTCACGGAGTGTTTGTCTAAGAGTGAGCGGGAATCTGAGGGTGACGACTAGGTGTGTGAGTGAACGTCTGGCAAGTGAGCTCCTTCGAAAGAGACTGACCTAATGGGTGGCTCCTGTGCACCTCAGATCTGCTGGAAGGCTTTTTGACGGAGGAGACACAAGTGATCACAGAGGGACGCACCTAAAAACAAGAAAGAAATGGGTTTTTAGTTCAAATGAAATGTGACAATGTTCCTTCTTTCTGATTCTTCCTAAACCTGAACATGAACAGTGTTAAAATTACAGCAGCTCCAGTGTTCGGAGCTCACTTTGAATTTTTTTTTTTGAAAAGTGATTAAACTGGTTGGATTTGCTCAGGAAAAGCAAAGTTCACTCCCAGTGTGGTGGCATAAACAGCTCAAAGCAGTTTGTTTGGTCTTGTTGATGGCATTCCTCCCTCCATTGCTTACATTTTCTCCCTGAATCTGGCTGGATTGCATAGCTCAGGCAAGCTTAGGCCTGTGTGTAGTCAGAAGCAGGATGCCTGCGCAGTCAGATTCACAGACTGAGAGGCCTGAGATGTATACCACCACTGCGGTTAGCCTCCAGCAACACTGCCACTACAAAGGGACATCAAAACCGCCCTGCTTCCTAAGTAAAGACCATCCAAACGTCATTTATCTGTCCTGAAATCTACACCTGTTCGGTAAAATACCTGGATTTGATTGGTGGGTGAGCTTTTGGTCTTGTCCTCTGTGCTTTCAGGGTCTTTTCTGGGTTTCTTGATGAGGGCGAGGGGTTCGTCCATGACAGGTGTGTAGTACACGTAGTTTGGCAGAGGGCTGGTGGGGCTCGGTGTTGGACTCTGGCTGGATGTTGGACTCTGTTGGTTGGTGAACACTGCCGGTGCTGCTCGTTGGGCCATTTTGCTTCTGCTTATTGCCCGCTCACGCCTACAACAAGCATTCATCAGAAAATGTACCCTCTCACATAAACGATTCATGCGATCATATGTTTTCAACATATTTATGAACAAGTGGATTTTTTGCAAACCTTTCTTCCAACGTTAGACCCCTCTCAAGGCTGCGCTTGCGTTTGACGGGATACACGGCGGGGGCTCGAGTCCGGTCATTGGCCATGTGTCTGTATCTGTCTTCGCTTCTGAGATGGGGCTGACCTATACAGAAATAAAGCAACAACAATGAGTTCAAGAAAGCTTTAAAAGAACACAATGATATGTTATACAACAGTATAATTTAGAAAAACCCATCCTATATGCTGAATGACCATTAATGGTTTTATCTGAGAAAATGGTGCATAACTGTCATTGGTGACTAACAGGTTGTTTTGATCCATGACATCAACCCGCATGACTCCAATTCGTGGGAAAACTTTTTTTTTTGTCACCGTTAATTGTAAACTCCGTTAAGCTGTAAAACTTGATTTTCCTGATCAGTTAGGGTTGCAACAGTACACAGCTGATTCAATGCTAACGGTAAAGTTGTTTTTATGCTTAAACCTTGGCGTCCAGCCCAATCACACGCTCCTAAAAAGGGCACAATCAACAGTTATTGTTAGGAAGACAAAGTCACTCATCTGAATAACTCGGAGGGTTTGAAAACAATAACTTGGGTGACACCCATCGCTGAAAAGCCATGCGAACATATGCAAAAAAAAAAATATTTTTTTTGCAGTTTAATGTGCCAAACCGCTCACAGGTGTTGGGGTGCTTCAAACATCCAGGCTGTAGTTTTGAATTATCTGAATATCTTAGTGTAAACAGAGGATCATAAAGATAAATTCTGCCAAATCAGTGAGCAACGACTCAAGCTTGGAAGTCCTGCACACAATCAAAACACCTCCGTTGTTTGATAGTGTGGTCGCACTGTGTCCCATTGTTTGACATGCTTAGATAACTCTTAGATATCCTCATTTATTGGACAGCAAGAGGATTTGTTTGTGTTCAGATAACAACTTCTTCAGCATCACGGGTTTGAAACAATAGGTTATAATCTGCTTCGTAGAGAAGCATAAAAAAGAATGGTTCAGCACCTTTGCACCCCGAACACTTCACTTTGCTTTCTCCTGCTGCATAAACACTCCAACACCTGCGCGCTGCTCCTTCACACAGTGAGCCATTGTGGAGGGGGGGGGGGGGGGGCAGGTTTAACCACACCTATGCTGATTTTCTAATGCCTCAGGCATGGATATTTCTTCCTTAATAGCGTTGAGAACGTGCTGCGTGACCTTCTGTTTTTCTTCATTTTGGCAGGTATTGAAAACCAACTAAAACAAGAGGTAGATAAAATCTCAGCTGAAGTATGTGGACAGTAAATAATCCAAAGTTATTATTAGGAAATCCTTTGATCGTTATGTAGAATACTGTTAATGAGGAAAGCAGCTTACATTTCTTTTTATTTCATTTCAGCCGTATCTGATTATCAAAACATCTTATTTATCTCCATATATATACATACATACATACATATACACACATATATATATATATATATATATATATATATATATATATTGACAGAACAAAGTTGAATGTAACAAACACAGATTTCAATTTTGACACATTATTAGAAAAAACTGCTGTGACTTCAACACTTATTTACACAAATCATTGTAGCACAAGTATAATTTTTCATCAAACAACCAAAGGTGATAAAAGTAAGGCGTTAAATCAAGCTTACCTTCTAATATGTAGACCTTGAAGCCACTGTTTATCCGAGTAATGTACTGGAAATTTGCCACAGCCATGGCTTCTTGACTCTGCGTGGAGGCAAATAGGAAGGAACACCTTCACTGCTGGGGATCAGAAGACAGCGCGAGCCTCAGCTCAGTTTGCTCTGGAAAAGGGTAAATGAGATGCAAGCTGTGAGCTCAGGCAGGTAAAGTATCCAGGTGAGCTCAGGTAGGCACAGTTGCTTTCCTGTGACTCATCCCCTGCAATTAGATTGGCTGCAGCCTGGGCCAATGGCAAAGCCCTCGTCCATTCACTTCTGTTGTTATTGTGTTTTAGGCGGAATGTTCTCACAGGTAGACCTGTTTCAAAAGTGGAAAGTTGAGTTGTTAAATGTCACGGTGTGAAGGAGTTTGTGACTGTTTTTTGTTTGTTTGTTTTGTTTTGTTTGTTTTTCCTGATTGAGGCCCTTATTTCGATGAGCAACATTTACAAGAGATATGTGATATTTTAGTCACATATCTCTTGGGACAACTTGTAGAATTTTGTTCAGAGTTCCTGTGTGGGCGAAGTGAGTCTTTTGTTTCTTTCCATGAAATCAGCACCTGTCCTAACCCCCACCCCACACAGCCCCCCTCCCCTCCACTTCTGATCTACAATCTCACCAAACTGCATTTTTCTGACTGCTTAGCCCACCAGGGCTCCAGTCATTCCACAGACCTGCCCATACTCGCTCTGTACTCTGGGAGACCGCCTCAGCACTAATCCAAAGGCTTTTGTTAAAGGCTGGACAAAGACTCCTAAGTCCTGAAAATGCTGCAGCCATGAGAACAATCTTATCTGAGCGTACAGACGAGTTTGGCCACATCTATGATGTTGGATGTACAGGAAGAATAACAGAACTTTTAGTGTGAATGATGTGCTTTGAATCATGTTATCACATTAACAGGTAATACATTTATCCTTTATTGTTAATTTTATTTATCCTTATAGCCTGAACAATTCTTTCTGATGCAAAAGGTTGCCATAAAATACTGTATTTCACTGTAACACTTTAATAAGACTGTTTACTACGACTCAACAGTGCCCTCTTAAGTCATGAACTGCAAACATGAGGCATCAAAATTCACACAAAACCAGTGTGCTTTTTTTTTAAAAACATTTTGTGGCAGAAAAGTAATGTTTTGATATACACATTAAATGCAAGTTTGTTCAGTGACAAATTCCATGCAGTGTTAACATTTTAAAATGCAAAGAATTTGGCTTTAAAATGCAAAGAATCTAAGCGGTCAGTCAAGTTTATTTTTGAAACATTGATCTTTTTGTCGGCAGATCACACCATCAGTAAGGCAGGACATCTCTGCTTGTCATGAAGGGATGTGTGAGGAAACTGCGTCACCCAGGAATCTGAATTCAAACCATTTTTGTTCGTGTCTCAATATTAGAAAATAAATTCATGTAAGTTGCTTCAGTTTCGAGTCGACCAAACAAGAAAATGCTTAAAGGTCAATCGGATGTGTTTCTGAAGCACACATGGAATGACAAGAATGGATTTTTTACATAGTGTTCAAATGATGCTGCTACTCCATCACGTCATCAGATTTCCAAACACACTTTGAAAAAGAAAAGAATCACTCCACTAATATGGAATATTCTCACAATCTAAAAGAAAGTACACTTTTTTGAGCACCAGTGTTCAAATTGTTTAGAGATGATTATTGTTTTTGAGCAGAAAACCAAAACAGCAGCTGCAGTGTCTGTTGACTAGATAATTAGTATTAGAAAAGTATATGCCTGCATAATTCAATTGTAATTTAGTTTTTATTAAATTTGGTATGAACGCAATAGTTTTTAGTAGTCTTTTTTGTCAAAATTATAATAAATATTGAAATTTGCTACATAATTTTACTTTATAATGCCATCCTAGCTAGCATAGATTTATAGTAAGTACAAGTAATTTTTTTGAGGATTTGTAATTTTACCAAGTATTAAAAAAACTACTTTTACTTTTATTTAGTTATATTTAAAAACCTAAAAATCATACTTTTCTTCTTTACTTTAAAATTTAACATTTAGTTAAAAATGTCTGAACTCATCATCAAAGGAGTTGTTTATATGCTCTAAAAAGTTTAATTTTCTCAACCAAGTCATGTCAACTGCTTCCACTAGTAAAAATGAGACAATATACTATTTTCTTTAAAAGAAAATATACACATTGCTTGATTTACTCAACTTTGCTCAGTCATTTTTTTTCAAGTACTTTATAAACCTCTGCTGGCTGGAAGGAGCCCATCAATACACTTGAAGTGGCCCACGGACCACCAGTTGATAATAACAGTTTTAGCAGGTTTTGCAGCTCCTGACACATTACACACACATAGTTAACTAAGGAGCAGAAATTATTATTTTTGATTGTAAAGGTTACAAACGCTTGCCCTTAACCAGCAAATATAAGATGATATAAATAATTTATTTTTCTTGTGAAACCTGTGCAGAAACCTTTATTTAAATAGATACATCAGTCAACAAACACACAGATAAAATAAAAATGCATGCCTGAATTATCACTGAGCATCCTCAACCAATCCCTCTAAAATAAACAGCAACACCTGCATTTATTCTAATTAAGAATATAAGCTTTACATTGTCTCTGTGGAGTGTTAATGATTCAGGAGAGACACACACCAGCAGTGCCTGTTTCCATCACAAACACTATCGGTTACCACCACAGTACAGTTTCTATAGTAAAACATATGGGGGTCCCAGGGGGTCTGTGCTGATCACTGCATGGTTCTGAGTATCACCAACAGATGGCGCATCTTTCCAGATCTCTGTCCACCGGACCGAAGATGAGGAGTTCGTGTTAATGACAGTGGATGTGTTTTCTGTTGCCCCCGCATCCATCCCGTGGAGTCAGCATCAGATCCATGTGTGTCAGAGAGCAACGTCCCTGTCAACTGCTCTCATCAGCACCACCCTCATCCACACCCTCACAAGTCACACACACACAGACACAACACAGGAAGTCGGATTAAATCTTTTCAAATCAAAACTAAACACAAAACAAGTTATTTAGCTTCTTTTTCAGATACATTTAATTCAATACATTTAACATCTCCTGACTGTTTTGAATTTATAACGTATAGCCTATTCATGCTTTATTTAACACAGTTATACTGAAATACTGTTAGCCTCTAAATGCTAAGTGAGCAACAAGTCAAATAGATTTAAAACAAATAGTCATTTTTTTATTTGAGGAAATTCTGTGAACAATATAATCTTTCCTGTTGTAGGTAGCTCTTTGAACAACCTCAGTATGGCAGGACTAATGAGCTAAAAGCTAAACCAAAAAATACTTTCACATCTTAAAACATCGACAATCTTCAACGTCTTAGCAGCTCATTTTATAGCATGCTATTTGATAACCCCTTTCAGTTCTGTCGCTTATGCATTACATGGCTATTCCTACACAAATATTACTTCACTAATGTCCCAGGATATAAAAGATGCTGAAGCCAGCTGCGGTCACCTCACAGTAAGTTCAGAATTGTGTGTCAGTTTGATGTCACACCAAACTTACATCAGAAAAGCAGCAACATCTCCTCGAAGGTCACTGTCCTTCTTTTTGTTGTTTCACTGTGAATGTTGTGGACAAGGGGACACATCTGAAACTTAAGATGTCTCTCTTTTTTTGACACACACGATTTGAATGAAATGGTGGTTCTGCAGAAATTCTGCAGGCCCTCGAAGACCAGGATTGGGCACCACTAAGGTTTATGAAATACTATTGCCACTATATAAAACAAGACAGAAGCAGAAATTTCATTTTAGCTTCAAGCTGTATTAAAGATACAGAATCGTGGTCCATAATAAAATAAAGGAAAATGAGAAGAGAAAAGCTCACACTACAAAAATAAAATAATAATAAAAAAGTGACGTCACAGATATTTACACATATGCAGGCACATTTTTGGACGGATACCCAACTGAGATGACCCTAAGGCAGAGGGCTTTATAACGCAATTCTGCTGATTCATGACTCTGCATTAAAGATGCAATGCCTAAAAACAGCTGCACAAGATATCACATATTTAACAAACATTGCACTTGCCTTGGGAGTCTCAGTAATATTCTCAAAAAGTATTGTTCGCCACAGTCAAATTCTGCATGTCCTTCTTTGTATAATTACCCCATGGGCTTTGTATGAAGATGAGCAAAAGTTTGTTGTTCAACCAGGCTTTAACGTAGCGTCCAGGCTTTTATTTTGTAAACGTGCACCGGAAGTCACGCTTCTCCGCACCGTCTAACTTGCCTGCCGTCCAGCCGAGCAGCCTCCTCTCCCTTCATATGACTGGGGAGTGACGCAGGGCAGACGGAAAAAAAGAAAAGAAAAAGAAAACTGGGTCTTTAGGTGGGAGCAGGACGGCGGAGATGCTGGAGCAGATTTCAGTTTGATTTATTGGTCAGGTTCCAGTCGGTTGCACGAGCTGCGTGTCCGCTCGGAGGACATGAGCGTCAGCTGCAGGCAGGCGTTCCTGTGACACATCCCAGCTCATAACCAGGGAGCATCGCCTCATCCTCGGGGCGGATCACTTTGGACACATTCCCAGGTAGGCTCCATCAGCTCTTCTTCTGGGTGTTGATTTACCACAGGAGTGTTTTCAGGCTGGATCTATGAACCATCTCGCTCTGAGATGATCAGCAGAACAGGTCATTTAATCAAAGCAGATTTTGTCAGCGATTATTTTAGAGGCTGATCTTTGCAGTCACGATTTCCTCCCCTTATCAGGCATCCCATATATCTGTCTGATTAATAAGACTCAGACTGTGTCCTCTTCAGGTAATCCTTGTTTCTGCACATGGAAAAGTAGCCTCATCCCCCCCACTGAGCACCAACATCCAATTTGAGAGGACATTTGGACCCTCCCCACACACCTCCTCTCCGTCACTCCAACAAAACCTGCACGATGAATTATCTGCGTCGACGACTGTCGGACAGCAATTTCATGTCCAACCTGCCCAATGGCTACATGGGCGACCTGCAGCGCCCCGAGCCGCAGCAGCAAAGCCCCGCAGTGTCCCCGGGGCCGGCGGAGAGGCGCCAGCCCCCCGGCCAGCAGCAGCAGCAGCAGCAGCAGCAGCAGCAACAACAACAACAGCAGCAGCAGTCTGCAGGTGGGGGCTCCAGCTTCTTCTCCTCCCTATCCAACGCTGTCAAACAGACCACAGCCGCTGCGGCTGCAACCTTATCGGAGGCGGCGGACCGGGCAGGTGTGTCCAGCCACGCCAAGATCCTCCTGGTCATCGACGACCAGCAGACCGACTGGTAAGTGCAGCGCGCAGTGCCCGGCTGCGTCTAGACAGGATGGAGAGGAAAACACAAGTGAAAAGGCACGGAGAGAGCTGCAGTGGCGTTACATCTCCAGAAGGCCGTAATGATTCAGGTGATGCTCGCAAGGTGCAGCACGTGACACGAGCACCAAAGTGAACATGGAGCTGTGCGCTGATGGTGCCAAGGCGCAACATGAGAACACGCGGAGACGTCATTTAGCTAGTTCACCGGAATCATTATGATCAAATTCTACAATTAAAATGTCAGGTTGCGTTGTTTATTTTAATGATGACACATCAGAATGCCAACATTTGTAGGCCTCTGGACACTAATGTGCAGATTTTTCTTCACTCATCCTGAGAGCTTTGCACAAAGAACACAGGTGGCAGAAAGCTGCAATTTTACCCCCAAACTAGGTGTCATTACATAAATAATTCAGTCACTTTCACGTCTGAACTTCAGCTTATCAATGTTCCTGGAAGCTCATTGCATTGAAGGAGCTATCCACAAAAGACAAGACGTGTCATGATTTAATCTGGAGTTGAAAATCTCCATAGTTTGATGTTAACAAAGCAATGATTTATTACTACTAATGTTTTAATCTACACTGCTATAAAATAAAATTGATAAATTGATCATTTTCCATGGGAAAAATGATCGAACCTATAGCCCCGCCCCTATCAAGCATTTATTTATTTATTTATTTATTTATTTATTTATTTATTTATTTATTTATTTGTACAAAATTGCAATGCCACGTAGACTTGTAAAAAAATCATGAAAGAAAAAGAAAAAACAAAATATGCACAATGTTTTTTTCTCATACTGGAGGTTAATGTGTTCTTGAATGAAATATTTATGTAAAATGTGTGAATGGCTGCCAGCTAGTTGTGTTTGTTTATACTGAAACAGCTATAGTGACTGTAACAATGGTGACATCCATGCAAGAGCCGTTTGGAATAGAGAAGCCAGACAGTTTTGTATTATTGGTATTTATGCTTAAATTTGTTATGCAGTTTAAAAAAAGGCCACTGAATGCAGACCTGCATTTCAGAATTGCATAAAAAATAGTAAATTGTTCCAAAGTGCACCATTTAGTTCATGATAACTTTATATATTTTCCTGTTCTTTGCAGTGACCATCACATATTGTCTCTGCATTCATGTACCATTCTCAAATGGACATAACGGGAGCCCAAAAATGAAATTCTGCTCCTGGACCCTCACATATCGACCCTGTTGGTGTTACTAACAGTTCTCACAGCTCGCAGTACTGGAGGATGTGAGCAACACTGACCCAGATTGTTCTCAGTTTTAAAATGTTCTGCTGCTGCTGCTGGAGGAAACACAAAACGCACCGGCTGTCAGTGCCGGGGGAGACATGTTGGGTGTGTTTCACATTTTATTTGACAATTAGACTCACAATCTTGTTTCACATTCAGGGTGAAGGTCTTTAGAGGAAAGAAGGTGCACGGTGAATTTGACATCAAGGTAGAACAGGTAGGTTTTAAACTCTTAACTGTGTTTTGCTCTGGGAAAATTGCGGGAAAAAAAAACATAAAACAAAATCAAAAACATACAGCCCGAGAAAAGAGGCAATCATGTCGTTGATCGATGCTGCAGCTGGAGCAATGTGACATGATTTTTTTTTCACAAGACTTCACTATTTTTTCACTGATAGATAACATTGTGTTTGATGTATTTATTCCAAAACATAACTAGAGCCTAGTTTATTGTTCTCGTGGCAGATGAAAGCATCAACCTTATTAATGAGCTGGTCATTATTTACACTAAAAGCAGAAGCTTTCTTCTCAGAGCGCATTCAGAATGATAAATGACTCAGTAAAGTGCTCCCCCATGAAACATTATTAACAAAGATTTTTGTTTTGTTTTTATGATTGAGGCTAATTTTTATGCAGATAAATCAAGTGTTTAAGGAACTGAAGTAAAGTCATTTAGGTCAAATGAATTATTCATTATTTGGACTACTTGTTGATCCAGTTTTAGCCCGTGACTATTCATAGCAAATCAAGAGCAGAAAGTGCCAAATAGTTTTAAAAAAAAATTCTGCTTCAGACTCTTTAATCTCCTTTTTTATCTCTCCTTCATGTGGCTTTTACTTATTATGGTCTGCTGCTGAAAGTGGACAGGAATGTTTTTGTGTGTGTTCATCATCTCATGAATAACATAACTTGTTAGATACAAAAATTGGAGAAAGTAATTAATGAATCTACATCTCTAACCGATTAACATTTGGAGTAAACCTGATTCAAGATGGCTGAGAAAGGCAAACGTGACTAAATCAGTCAGATTCAGAGATCCTGACCTGGTGTTTGAAACACATTTGATTGAGTTTTAACAGATTGTGCATGTTCTTTGCCATTTACAACAGTTGGTTACCTTTTTTTAATGTTACCCAAATATTTCAACAACTGGGTAGATTTTAATGAAACGTTCAAGAAATAACTATTATACAACCAGTCAATTCAACCCAATTCAAGATGGCTTACAAAGCTAACTGACAACACATTATTGGTTATAGTAGAACCATTTATGCACATTTTGTGTTAAAATATAGTGTGGTTGAAGCTGAGAGTGATTTACAACACATACTCCAAATACTGCTCGTTACCTGGATCTTTGCTTAAAACTGTAGCATTATCTGTTAGAAATATAGTATATCTTGGGAACCACTGGATGAAACGTTCAGGAAATAATCATTGGGTATACATCTAGCTGATTAATGTTTGAGTTCAACATTATTGAAGCAACAGCTAGTCAAAATTACCCAACTCAAAAATGACTGTAACTCAGTCAGCTATACAGATATTGAGCCATAAAATAATTTAGTTAAGACTCATTCACAACACTCACTCTGAGTGTGGCCTCTCTATTAAACAAGATTGTTAATTATGACAATTTTAAACTTTGACCAAAACAGCAGCTGCGATTTGCATTCCTTCTTGGACCGCTGGGCTTTAGTTTTCTTTTGCAGATTTTAACAAGAAAAAACTTATTAAACAGTGACTGATACAGTGTTTTATATTTACATGCTGGTCATGTAGAAATAGTCATTCCTGCCTCTAACCTGTGCAGATGTTAGTGTGTATGAGAGCTTGACCTTTTGGGTCATCCTTTCAGGCAGAATTCTCTGAAATCAACCTGGTGGCCAACTCCTTGGGCACCTACACCGTGAGCATTGACGCCATCAGGAGTGGACACAAGGTCACTAAGTAAGTCGTTTTTCAGTTGAGAATCGGTTCTGAAACTCCACATCTTTTAAGCCGTTCGACCGTAACCAAAGACTCTGCCTGACCACTCAGTTTAATATTTTGCTTGTGTCCTCCGCACCAGATCCTTCAAACCAGACTTTGTGCTGATTAGACAGCATGCGTTCAGCATGGACAAGAACGGAGACCATCGGAACATGGTGATCGGACTGCAGTACGCCGGAGTGCCAAGTGTCAACTCTCTGCACTCTGTCTATAATTTCTGCGACAAACCATGGGTTGTGAGTAGTATTTCATAACTATAAACATTTAAAAGTAAGGCAACTTGATTCCAGCTGCACATATTATACAACGACCTCTATTGTTGCTTCAGTTTGCTCAGATGTCACGACTCCACAAGCAGCTGGGCCCGGAAGAGTTCCCACTGATCGAACAGGCTTACTATCCAAACCACAAGGAAATGGTGAGTTCTTTGTGATCTGATTATTGGACTGCAGAGTCAGTGTCAGTACGGTTACATAGAGAGTGTTGCAGTAGAGCATTTATCGCAGCCCCTGCAGTCTCAGCCGACCACAACAGGTCATCAACAAACAAATCATTGCTCTCGGTGCTTGCCTGAAACACACTGTATATTAGAAAGCTGAAATGATTTTCACCCACAATAAAGTCAAGTGTTATGATGTGTATTTTTTTTCTTGTAGATCACCTCCCCTCAGTTCCCTGTTGTTGTAAAAATGGGCCATGCTCACTCAGGAATGGGAAAGGTAGTGGTGTATTACAAGTGCCACATTTATGGGACTTCTAGGTTGGTAAAATGTTCACATTTGGTCTCTTTAAATAGGTGAAAGTGGACAATCAATATGACTTCCAAGACATCGCCAGTGTCGTGGCACTGACCAAGACCTACGCCACATCTGAGCCGTTTATTGACGCCAAGTACGATGTCCGCATCCAGAAGATTGGTAACAATTATAAGGCCTATATGTGAGTGTTTTAGTTCTCTCCAGTTTTAGTGTTTTACTCCACCACTTCCTGAAAGGTTTACTGTCAGTTTACAGCAGACGAAACATAAAATCTCTTTGCGTTTAACAGGAGGACTTCTATTTCTGGCAACTGGAAGACTAACACTGGCTCATCCATGCTTGAGCAGGTGGCCATGTCAGACAAGTGAGAGCGTGTAACTGTCTTCCATACAAATGTCTATAATATGTCTCGCTGTGTAATAATTTCGCTTCACATTTTGTTGCAGGTACAAAATGTGGGTGGATTCGTGTGCAGACATCTTTGGAGGGTTAGACATCTGTGCTGTGGAGGCACTACATGGCAAAGATGGCAAGGATTATATTATAGAGGTATTTACAGCAAGGTTATAACATATTGAGGATTTTGTGATCACCAGAGAAATCTATAAATTCCATCAAGTAATTGTGTTTCAGGTTGACGACTGTTCAATGCCACTGATTGGGGACCAGCAGGATGAGGATCGTAGTCAAATTGCAGAACTAGTAGTTTCTCAGATGAACCAGACGGTTCCACGCACTCCGAGTTCTTCCGCAGTCCGTGCCTCTGCAGGACAGCCAGCTCAGGTGCTTAAAGGATGAAAAGATGTTTCGCAAACCCTGTTCTTTAGGTCATCCTCTCAGGTTTACATTATTTTACATTCTGGTGTCTGGTAAGACTTGACAACTCTAAGGTTTCAAACAGTATTTTTCCACAAAAAAGGGTTGAAAATGTGGAACACCAAAATGTTCATAAATAAATAAATTAACATTGTGAAATAAGTATCTGTATAAATAAATAATAGAGAAATGTATATGTAATGTGACAATGTTATTGTGAAATAACTGAATGCATATAATATTCTAAGTTCATTATCATAAAAATGTTTTATTCTCCTTTAAAAATGTGCTTATAATTAATAAATATATTCCCAATAATATAGAATATTTTTGAGGTATTTTTTTTTCATTCCAGCAGTTTTTATTCCAAAATGTCCTTTTCACAAAGTCATCTTTTATTTCACAATGGTGTTTTTCCAAATGGCTCATTTATTTCACAATTACACTTTTCAGCAGAATGACTTCAACTGTCAGTCAGCGTCAGTGGGTTAGGTCTGTTGCCCAGTGGCTGATCCTTGCACATATTTCAAAATCGGTATGTGAAGGAACAGCCAATCAAACAACTGGCTCCGCCCTGTTTCTTTTGATTGACAGACAAAGCCACACTGCTAAAAAGTGCCATGAAATAAATAAGCCATTGAACTGTATATGCATTTAGTTGTTTCACATTTACATTGTCACATTATGTATTTATATATTAATTAGTCATAAAGACACGTATTTTATAATGTTTTATTTATTTATTTATTTATTTATTTATTTATTTATTTATTTATTTATTTATT